TGGGTTGGAACTTGCATCAATCTCCGTATGTTCAGCAAGTGCTTTTGCATCTGTCAGGGCCTTTGAAAATCCTTCATCAGACTAAGCATTTTCTAAAGATGATTTCATTTTTCCAAAAACAGGTATTGCAGATGTTAAGTCTAAGTGATGACACTGTAATGTTTAATCTATTTGTTCACTTGACAAAAGTGTATTATACCAGATTGCGAGACAATAGAGTAATTTGAAGATGTAGAGCTCCACTGTGAGATCATTACCTTCACTCGTTGTCATTGTTTCATGAATTCTGAAGAGTGTTGTATTTGCTATGATGACTACTAAGGTAACGAATGGTATACACAGCTTTTAATATACACTCCTATCAAGCATTTAAGAGTGATTTGGTACGGTAATTACAAACTTTGAGAAATTCCCATTTATGTGTGGTCCTAGAATAAACACCCATCTTATCACGCACACAAAAACAAAACAAAACAAAACAACAACTTCATGACAGGACATTGCATTACTATTAGCAACAAATCTGAGTGGCTGAATACAACGTGGTACTCTAGACTGAACTTTACTGATCTTTCCTTTTATATTTGCTCCATTGTAGTAGTCTTGCCCATTATGTCTTCAAGATTGAATCCCGTGCCGTAGCCACGGGGGCGCAATGCGCCTTCTAAAAATCTGCCTTAAAAATAAAATAATGCCTCTTTTTACTTTTTCGAACGTGAATAATTCCAATGTACTCATGTATAAAAATATTAGGTAAACCGAAGTAATAGTTGCTGTAAATCAATATTTATAAAATAAGATATATTTGTACTTATGCTTTCGGATTTTGTTTTTTATCGCATCGATGGCTGCATATCCGGACGTGGATTATTCAGATTTCAAATAAATTGTTATTGATCGAGGCAACGTTACTCGTTCGTTTATTAATAAAATAAGAATTATAACTGAATGTTAGACAATGTGTTGCTTCTTACACAAAACAAGGGCATAGTTGAATACACTAAATTATTCGTGTTGGAAGTGAATTATTGCGCAAGAAGGGAACTGTATGCACTCATCGAACAGTGAAGATCAGAAGATACGTAACTGAAACCATTCTCTCATTCTTGTTTATGCATTGCTAGATTTACAGTGTTTGAGGCATTATTATTGACAGAAAGATTCTATCCACGGCATCCATTTTGTTTTTCAGAGTTGAGGAAATGTTACTTTAATTGTTAGCAGGCACTTTAGTAAATTTTATATAATAGTTTAGAAATCGGTCTTATTACTTACTAGCTGAGGTACCCAGCGTTGCCCGGGGGATTATATATATTTGCAATTATAAGTTTTTAGGCCTACTTATGTTCAAATGAGCAAGCACGGCGTGATCCGTCAGCACACTGAATAGTTTTTTTCCGACTTTACGCTTCAACACCAGACTTTTTTTGTGCTTTATCTTCCTCTATAGGCCTCAAAAACATTTTAAAACGCTTTATAGTCTAAAAACTTCAACCGATCGCACCCGGTAAGTGATGACGTCATAACGTGACTGCGCCGTGATTGGTTGAATAGGCAGGTCTGTTACAGGACGTCAGACAGACATTGGATCGAAAATGTTTTAAACCAGGTTAATTAACATTTATGTACTGGCTTTCTCTAGAATGGTTTTATCACTATAGTGAGGTAGTTTTCACCAGCAGCATAAATCAAAACTGTTATATTAACACATACAAGTTAAAAACGAGACCACGAACAGTAATATAACATTATACCGAGCTGAAATAATTCAAAAACTTAAATGATATAAACAATAACAATTAAATCAATTTATTACGTAAATCATCCTGGAATAAATAAAGTGAAAATTGGCCAGATCTGGTGTTAGTGTTAAAAAAAATAAGGAAGAGAAAAACACGGTGACGATTGTATTCCACAAAACACATTTATAATAATCATAAACAAAAATTCATACAACCTTTAATTACCTTAGCAAACTCTAACTTCAAACCCTGTCTTACAGATAGACACAAAATAAAAGTTTTAAATTACTTCCTTTATTATATAATCCTTACTTCTATTCCCTGCTGTGATTTTTACAAAATGCAAATTTCTAGTCCAATTTTTCTACATTACTATAGAGTTAAACGATTTTAAAGTACACCTCTTGAAACAATAGAGCACAATTAACAGGAATAACTCAGCTTAAATGGCAAGAGAAAATTTCTATATATATATAACTTAAATTGCAATAATTTATTTAAGTTCTACAATTCAACCTAACTTCAGAAATTAAAACAAGTATTCATAATTACTATTTTGCTTGTCCCTACTCTCATTCAACCAAGTAATTTTACATGGAAGTAATGATCTCATAATCTTATTCTTCACTTGAATTATAAACTAAAATCTTAAAAAAGGAGCTCAACACTAGCTATGTATTGAATATCTTGATTTATAAAAACTCTTGTATTTTTCATTTAACTCTTTTATTTCTAGTCTAATTAATTTTTTATCTAGCACTCTTCACTTGCAAAAGTCCACTTAGTCGGTTTGATTCCTGAGGATGCTCAGATGTTCATGGTGTGTAATATGACCATTCAGTGACTAAGAGAACTAGTCCATGCCAAGAAAATACATCCCACATTATTACTTCACCTCCATGCAGGTTACATAGTGGAAATAACATTAAAGTAGTCCAAAGCTTTATAGGGCTTACAGGAAACTTCGACTCTCCCATCTGTAAGAATAACTTTTATGGAGATTACTCAATTACCTGGCACATTTTGATTGGCCAACAGTCAATCCTGATGGTCCTTGCACTACTATAGGCATGCCTAGTGTTTTGCAGATAGGGTAACAAATTACAACATTTATTTGTCACATTGTTCTTTTTGAAATTGATGTCTTAGTCCATGATTAATGTCATCTGTTAACTGCTATACTGTTAAATGTCTATTGACGTTCAAATGTTTATCAAATACCATCTGTTCTGTGATGGAGCAGTTTCTTTCACACACAACTTCTACCAATTGCATAATTTTGAGATGCTATCACACTATAAAGATTCATGAAATGGTCACCTTTGATCTCCAAACCAGCTTCATAGTTTTTTGCTATTGAGGCTCAAGTTAAACAAGCATCAACAATGTCTCCTTTAAAGGCAGACACATTTTTAACCTCCCAGTCTTAATAAAGACTAAGATGCACCTAAACCTCCTTAAACTATTTATATTCACACAATAGTCAAATGAAGTAGTACTAATTAAATAGTGAAAAAGTCCAAAACCAAACATTTATTGAAATATCTAACTTTTTGGCTAGGCAGTATATATATACATATACAGAGAGAGCCATAGTGAGCCCCCCCCCCCCCCAAAAAAAGGAAAACAAAACTACATGTAATTCAAAAAATTTCAGGAAGAGAGGTGTTTGTTTGTTACCTTAGTTTTATTTTTCTTTATTGTAGATTCCCACTATATTATTGTGTGTTTGTTTACTGTTTAAGAATAATAGGATATCTATGCTATACCCACATTAAGTATCGAAACCCAATTTATAGGATAGATTAGAAGGAAGGCTAGTTAACAGCTCTTGGGCTACTCTTATCTGACAGAATAGTGGGATTTTACCATTACTCTTTTAGCACACACACACATCTCCAAAATACATAGCTCCTTTTAGAGACCAGTGGATGCAAACCATGATCTTACAATTCACAGTACAACATACTAACCACCAAAATACTTTATTTTTGGATCTTTATCTCAGAATATTTTGCCCTTTTGGATCACCGTGTGAATGTTACTATCATGGTACTTGAAAAAGTACCATATATTCCCTTTTAAGGTAAGCTATTTAGTTTACCAAAGTTTTCAACATTTTTCAGATAAACATGCTTACAAATTTTTCAGCACAATAAATTCACCTTGTGCAGTACTGACCTTACTTCATGTTCTAGTTACTCAAGATCATGTTTTGTGTATAAAATGTACTTTCTTAGTCTTCATCCAGATTTCCTCCTGGAAAGTCTCTCAACAGTAAGAAAGAAGTGCTGTCCATTATCTTCAACTTGTGTTGTACGTAAATATTACTTTTCACTTTGTTTCACATTAGGATTAGTTTATCTTGAACTCAATCAAGTGAAATTTTCAGTTTTAACTCCATAATTCTTATACTGTCTGAACCCTTTGGTTATTTGTGGTGCTATTTTTACCTGTAAGGTATCCAGTGAACCAGAAAATACCATGCTATCATTAGGTGGATGCATTAATAGCTTTAGAATATGTACATATTAAGGAAAATGTGTAAAATGTTTTTTTATAACATCCCAGTGTAGTTCTCCATAGACACTGACAATAGCATACTTTCAGGATGTACCTACACCATACACTGGCAAGTCATGGCTTATGAGGCTCAAAGCATTAATTACTTTACTGGGTTTTCCATTGATTTCTAACAAGTAATACCAACAAAGGATCTAATTCAAAATATTTTACCTATCTCTACTTTTAGCATAGCAAATAACAATGTTCAAACTTCATATTATAAAACAATAGTGCGTACGTACAAAGGATGAGTACTTTATATTGAGATGACTTCAAAATCTCTATCTCTAGTCATACTCTATCTGACACCCGTGCATCTGCAGCAGTTTCTACTGATAAAAGTGCCACTGTAAGACTGTCATGTCCAAAGCACATCATTTGTCCCTGAAAATTTTCCATTGACTACCCAGTATACGATGACAATAGTACCTAAGCATCTATTACAACAGTCAAATCATCTATAAATGCTTGGGCACTGCTCTTGGCAATTCAAGTGGTATGTCTCAATATGGAATAGCATGAGTACTGGTTTCATTCTGCATCTACTTGAGGTATGCAATGGTTGAATGGACATGTCATGAAATCAATTTGTGTACATGTGACTATTTGTTTTTCCAGATGAAGACCTGTATTATGTTGCTTGAGACATGTGGATGGCTTCTGCTACTGACCTTTATGTTTGTGGATTCTTACCTGTTACAAGATGCCACATTTTGCTTCCCACAACTGGTGTCTGACTTCCAGCAGAACTCTTTCTGGGTGGTTCTGGTGCCCCAAGTTGCTCCATATTCTTTGTTTTGCAATGCCAGTCAGTACAAGGGATATTCTCACTTTGGAAATTCTAAATTCTTGATCTGAACACATCTTTATGATCTGAGAGTACGAATATTTTGCATTGGATCAATTTTCAGTGGCATCACACTACCTACGAAATGCCAAACAATGTCAAAATATAGTTCTGATACATAGCTTTTCACCTTGACTTTATATCAAATGTTGTTTTCACATGAATTTCTGATTACCATATTCAAAATCATTTTAATATAATGTTTTCAATTCTCTGTATTTTGGTAAATACACTAGGGAAGATAAATATGTATGTATTTAAATCTCTATTATATGCATGAGTAACAAATCAGTCTAAAATAATGTATCTGTGAGAACAAATCACTCCACACAACAGCCAAGACAATATAATAGTTATAACCCTAATCACAAGTTCTGCACACTTGTTTGGTTGTTCCCCTTCTCCTTGTATTTTATGAATAAAAGCTTTTTCAATCAATTATTTAATTTGTGCAGATCAATAACAAGATGAAACACAATACACTGAAAAGAAAAACTTACAAACCAAACTTAAAAATGTGTACTAAATCTACAGTCAGTACATTATTAAACAAATATTTAATGTACTATTAATTTTTCTGATAAACTTAAAGTTTTTTTGATAGTTATATTTTTATGTTTTATGAGTTTTGTAAAGTATCATCTCATTATAATAATTTTACTTCAGGTTTTACATCCTTCTTCTATTTCTCAGCTTCCTAAATGTGATTCGTGGAGATTTCACAAAAATTAAGTCATCACACATTCAATACTTTTACAATGCTTTTTGAAGACTAATTTAAAGTAATATTAGAGCTGTCAAGGTTCCTTCAGTACATATAATTGTGATATGTTAAGAAGCATATAAGATTTAAAATAGAACCAATAAGTGTATAACTGATTCAAACGTATGTTGTCATCATACATATTTCTTAAATTATCTTGTGTCATCCACCCCTTATATTTATCATCCTCCAACCACGAACCTTAAAAGTAGCATTTCTCCATCATCATTAGGTAAACTCCTGAGTACTTCCCATTTAACATTTATTGCTAACCCTACAATTATTATTTTTACACTGCTAAAACAGTCTGTGAAATAAGTATACTATATGGTTTGCATTAGGAATATTAAACCAGAAAGCTAGCTCTGTTGAAGCTCTGTCAGAGAGAACTTATGCCTAATGTACCCCACTCCACTTAGTACTTGAAGATCTTTTGTAAATACCACGGTATTAAGCAAACAATAATCTTGTTCATTTAACTAAGCATTTCTACATAAATAGTTAATCCAACAAATAACTGAAAATATTTCATTTGAGATATTTTTATAGTATTCGCTATACATTTGTAGGCCTGACACAAGATTTATTTTCATTGCAATAACAGTTCTTCTAACAAATCTTTAGATTTCTATGCTTTATTGTATGGTGTCAGTTAGAAGCACATCTAAAGAGTTAGGTTCAATACCTGGCAGTGAACACCTTTTTAAAATGTTTTATGATTGGTAGCAGTTGGAAAAATTATAGAAAACATTTAAACAATGAAAACAAATTTTGAATTTTACAGTTTAATAGAGTTGCTTCAAATTTAATATTTTTCAGGGCTTTTAAACTAAACATATAAATTTCAAATCTTTCCAATGCTTTCTAAGGCTCTGTTTAAATCCTGTCTATGTTAAATACAGCCTGAAGTGAATAAGAAGCCTGCAATACTCCATTTATTTGTTTATGCCCAAATGCTGTGGAAAAGATTAAATACTCTCTAAATTAACTGAGTTGAATCTGTGCTTATTAGTTTATATTATCAACACCAACTCAATAAACCCAAAATTAATATAATGTGACAAGTTGTCAGTTTTCTTGGTGTTATTCTTTAATTTACAATCCTCAATTTAGAAAACAATACATTAAAATTTTCATCATGTCCTGGTTAGTTTTAACCTTTGTCATCAATATTAATCAGACCTTATAACTACAAGAACCTGAAAAAAAGTATTTCTTTAATTGACAACAAAGCATTACAACACTACAAAAGCTTTTACAACAGTGGAAACTGAATTCAACTACACTGCACTGGTGGAATGGTACATGTACAATGTTACCTCTTCAAGTCTACTAACATAAACCATTAATCATAATTTTCAAGTTTTAACTGCAAAATCAAATGACATATATTCTTGATATAAAGAAAAAGTATCATGTATGTGCAGTGCTCCTACTTCATTACCACTCAATAAACAAAATTCACATTAATAAACATTTACTATAAAATTAATATATTACTGGGATATTTGACATATGCAAAAATACCAGCTTTACATTACAAGAAAGGAGAGATTAACCACTGAAACTAGTTACGAGAACAATCAAAATGCTCTATTAATTTCAACATTACAGCTCTGACACACACTCAAACTAGGATATCCCCCTGAACAAATGTTAGCCATTCTTAATTAAAAAAACCCACTAATTATTGTTTTGTTTGAAGCAAAATCAACAGGCTATATAGACTACAAACATTTGACCAGTTGGTTACAAAGATCCATAAATAAAGAAGATAATAGTTTACCAAGGCAAGATAAACAAGCAAACTCAGAGTTAGGGCAACAGAAACCAACTGATAAACGTATAAGCTATATTGATAAGAATGATAAAATTCACATGTGAGAGTTTCTTTGTAAATTTTTTATCTGAAAAATAGTGAAATTTCCAGTAAAAATGCCCAATGACTTATGGTATTAAATAGATACTGAATAGAATGGAAGGTTCATTGATAATTAGCAAGTGAAGCTAATTTAATTAAAACCTAAGACGCTACTGACGCCTTCCTCTTCCCATATAAATATTTATCTTGTCTAATAAATGATTTATATTATCTAAATTATAATATTTAGGTTAAATATCTATTAAATATCTAACCATTCTCCTTTTTTTTAATAAGAAAAATTTATTAAATACCCAGTGTAGAAACAGCTAATTAAAATCAGTCAAAAAAAGAGAGCATCTGCATCAAATTACTTTCAGAAATAGACAATGTTTGTCCTTTAGTTGAAGAACAACTGAAAAGTAAATACAAAGGTTCAAACAAGAGATAATAAATGTAAATTTAACTTTGAATAAACTGCTTTTCTCCTTATAAATTAACCACTTTTATGTGGAAGAGAGACAGTTTTGATGATAACTTTAATTTCTTATCAGTCACAAAAGGTATGTGAACAAAAGAACAAATTACCCAGCTTCCTGTATGTTTACTAATTATATATATATATAACATTTCCACTGGGAAAGGAAAAAAACTCCTTTTTCTCATAACACATTTTTTTTTTGGTTTCTAACAGCAGCCAGAGCCTTGTGGCTTCACAGGGGTGCTGGGATTAATCTTATCTCCAGGTCGTATTGCATCTCCACCCGAAGTCATTGGTCCCATCCTGTTTTTAATCTCGGCTGCCATAGTCATAAAAGCCTGTTCTACATTTGTTGCATTCTTTGCACTTGTTTCCAGGAAGGGGATGCCTAGCTGGTCTGCAAACTCCTGATAAGTAAGATGAGAGGACATTTTGTAAAAATAACTTAAAATGATAAGAAAAAACCAATTGGTCTTATTAATTAACAAACTTTGAGAAATAAAATAAAAGTACTTTATGTATTTTATATCAGCCATTCATATTTAAGTTACATAAGCTTTTCCTTCCCTTCTATGTGATTAAAATGAAAATTTTATAAGAAACATATTTCGAACTTCAAAAAACTATTTTTTATAAGTTAATATTACATGACCCTGTAAATTAAGAAATACACTTCTTTAAAGTATTTTGTTAGTATATATTCAGTAAAACTTTCTTAAAAGATGATTTAACAGCAAGTTTTAGCGACAAACCTTTGCTGTAGTGTAATCCACAACCTTTTTCGTTGTTAGGTCACACTTGTTCCCAACCAAGAGTTTGTTTACGTTCTCGCAGGCATACCGATCAATCTCTTGAAGCCATTGTTTTACATTATTAAAGGATTCCTGCAAATTACAGAGAGTGATCTTTTAAACAGTCCTAAATGATGGTCAAACAGCAACTTAAAAACAACAACAGATCATTGCACTTCTTACAATTTGGAACTGATTTGAGTTAGCTCAAGAGATACAGAACAAACAAAGTACATGCAATTCTATATGTTTCTGATTCAACCTTTCAGGCAAGATTAATACCGGTAACAAGCTGATAGTGAAATCATATTTACTGTAGACTCAGTTGCAGTGAATTATCTATTCACACAAAAGATTATTAGTTTATTTTCTTCAAGTTTTCTGTAAATTAGAATCATAACCATGGGCACTGTTGGGCAATGGCCCACAGAAATAAAATCCTGAATCTATTCTGTGAAGCTCCAGTTGTTTGTTTGCTATTTTAAGAAATTTTTTGCAAGGCTATACATGAGCTGTATACATAGTTGTATCCAGTCCTTAACTGCAGCTAGTCAACAGCATCCACCACCCAATCTTGAGCCATTCTAATGCGACCAAATAGTGAGACTAATTTTATGGCCCACTTACTGCCCCAAAGTATGGAGTGTGTGTTAGCAGCAATGGGACACAAACCCATGAACCACTAAATCACACTTGGCCTGAACAACCTTGAACAAAATACAAGAAAACTATATATATTGTTTTCTCTAATTTGTACGTACTTGATTTTACATTAGTCACCCACACATAAATTTGTCAAGTTTCTACAGGTACTTAAGAGTGCATACTTTTTTAGAACAAGTCCCCACAGTTTCAAAATTCACAAACTACTGCTCACTAAAATTAATTGATTTCCAGGCCTGAGATCCAGATCATTCTGATAGCTAGCAATGTACCTTTTCAAAGAATATAATGATTTTACTTTTCTTTAGTGATACTTCAGATCTCTAAAGTATGTAGTACAAAGTAGTTTAGGTAGCAAAAAAGAATGCTTTTTTATTTGTAAGTTTAGCTATTGTGGCTCAAATAATATGATATCTATGATAAACATAATACATCTTGTGTTATAACTGAATCAGAATCAGACTGGTTTAATCAATGATTAAAATTAAGCTAAATTTGATTTTCTTTACAAATTCCAGGAAACATATTAAAGAACATGTGATAAGTAAATAAATAAAAATATACATATATGATATCTAACTTTTCAGCCCATTATTACATCAGCTCAGTCATATTTTAGGATTAGTTTGAAGATATTTTTGAACTGAATTATATTACTTAACAGTGAAAAGATTGTCTTAAGTTTATCTTTACACTTTTTCAAAGATATTTGTTTAGTTAATAACTAAGTTATTTCTTTCATATATGTAATTAATATCTCCTTGTAATTCCAATATTAAAATATTAACCAAATTTATCAACTCTGTTGCCTGCAGTGCTTCAATATAAAAGATGGGCAGAATATGTAAATCTTGGGAACTACAATTCATAGTCATGTTTACTAGATTAATTGTACACATCCTGTTAGAATAAATCTAGTTAGCTGGAAGAACCAGACGACACATAAAAAGTTTAGAATTACAATAAATATTTCATAACTTTTTAAATATAACTGAGACACTATTCTTCAACTGCTATTCAAACTATAATGTTTAAACAGTTTTCATCCAAACAAATTACCAATCCACCCATTTTTGTTAGCAAGCTCATATAATTTACAGATTTTTTTTTGAAACAAACAAATGATGCATCCTTATAATGATTGAAGTTAAAAAAAGTGCCAGTGTGGAATGTACCAAGAAAAAATCTACCTGATCTGTGACATCATAAACGACAATAATTCCATGAGCTCCTCTGTAGTAACTTGACGTGATAGTTCTGAATCGTTCCTGTCCAGCTGTGTCCCACTGAAACACAAGCCTAAGTTACTCAAAAACTTATGTTACTGTAAGACGTTACCTAACCTACCACATATTATCAGAGCATGAAATTTGCATTCTCAATATTACACAACTTAAGCCTAACCGAAACTGCAAAATTGATATTCTGAATTCTGATCACACATTGCTTTTAAAATACTACGTGCGAGTGAAATCAAAACTGAGGACATTTTGGTAACTTTTTACCCTAAAATTTCTGACAAACCATTTATGTGATGAGATAAAAATGGTTCCCTTAGTATTCATCTAAAAATTGATGTTAAATAGATTTCAGATAATCAAATGGTAATCTATATGTTGAAATATTAAAAGGAAACAATGTCTTATAATATTTAAGACAATTCAAACTACTTACAATTTGGAGTTTTATTGTCTTCCCATCTAATTCTATTGTTCTAATTTTCTGTGGTAATAAAGACAAATATGAGTATATTACAATGATATATTGAGAAATACTATTTAAGATTTTGATCACATATACAAATTTTCTACAAAAGTAAATAGAAAATATTATATGAGAAAAAACAACAACAACAAAAAAAAAACAACAATTAAACATTAACAGTCAGACTTGTATGAAACTTAGTGTTGCAAACACCAAATCAAATAAAATCTTAACAAATGTATTGATCTGTATTATTGATATCTGGAAAGAAACAATTAAACTTTGAAAATCCAGACTTGATTTACTAATAGTCTCAAGACTGAGAAAAAAATTTTCTTAGGATTGTTGAATCCTGCCAATAGAAATGAATAAACTTGCATTTTTCAGTTTATCAAACATGTCTGCCAGCAGAAACAGCAAATCTCTGGTCTTGTGAGGCATGAGATTCATAATGTCCAAAAGGAAATATCAACAAACCCAACTTCAAAAGCTAATTAAAAAAAATCTTTTTTAATTAAGTTGATTATTTCATGTTTTTTATCAAAACTTTTTTATGACCATGACTTAAAAATAGCCATTTTCTATGATTTACAGTACTGAAATGTTTTAGATGTAATTTACCATGACTCTGAGGATTTTAAGAGCCCGTGTTAACCATGAAAAGTTAATCTAAATGTTATAAGAACAGTTGAGTTGTTTTCTCTTGTCAAAACTACCGTACATATTTTTAAACACTAGGAAAACACTGACAATATAAGTAATGATGATAACTGGGTAAATTACAATAAACATTATTTTTAAATTCTCAAGGAAAATTGATTTCCAGGCCACTGGTGCAAATACAACCAAACTGATATTAATTACCAAATCTGGATTTTAAAAAGCTGTAACAAATTGAATAAAGTTTAGGTTCTGTAGTCTTTTTAAAAACTAACAGTCAAAACAAGAATTAATATCCTAACAATTTTTTTAGTGAATTCATTGATAATTCTGCTTAAAAATATTTGGTGTTTTTATAATAAGAGCTACATTTACTGTGTACTAAATTTTTACAAATTGCACCTAATATTCAAATGTTTGAGTTAGCTCCTAAAAAAGATGCTAAAAATTACTTACAAAATCTACTCCAATTGTGCTGATGTAACTTTCCGTATAGGTATCATCCTGTACAAAATAACGGAAGTAAACATTCATTGTTTATGAACAGAAAGTGCAAAACACTGAAGAATTAGACGTTTTACATACATACACTAAACAAAGTAATAGGCAATGCACAATAAAAAAAGACATGTACACATAATGTCTAATTACTTATAAACTGTTTTTTTTTATATATTAGTTTTACTTTACCACATTCACTCCTAACAATCCAGCAAATATAAAAAATAAAATTGTTGGTATTGAAAACATATGTCCAAGAAATGATAAAACAACACACAAAAAAAAGACCTATATCTGCTGGAGAAATTTTTATTAGCAGATGTTTCAGCTTCTACTCTTCATTGGAGCTTACGGCTTGAAAACAAAAGTTAAATCAGCAAGTATTATAACTTCCAAGTACTTAAAAGCTTTGGTTATGTTAACAATAAATAATTAAAAACTTACATACTTGGAACACAAAGAAACATGCAAGAACTGATACTAATAACCACTTCTAATATTGAAAATAATTACACAGTTTATGTGTTTGTTTACAGGTAGTATATTTACTATATTCTAGTTCCTATACAACTTGAATATCATGTGAAGTGCTTATCATAAGTTACTCTGGAGCTGTTGTGCAGTAGTATTTCAAAGTCAATATAATGGTTGTGCTTAAATCTGTTCAAATAGTCACAAAATTTAATACTTTATCCAACATGAAAAAAATCTTATGTTACCACAAATAACATACATGCAAGGGACCATTTGGTCCTACAAGGACGTCCCCTGTACATATGCTCTTAGGAAAAAGTAAAAACTTAAACACACACACGTTACTTTTAAGGAAATCACAAATTTCCCCCTTTTAAACTCTTGTAAAGTTTCAGCCTCCACTAATGCTGTTGGCAACTCATGCCATAAACCAGATATCCTGTAAAAAAATAAGTGTCTTAACTGGAAATTATAGTGTTTCTCTAAATTATACCCGTGTTCTCTCATCCTACTGTCTTCAGACCATAGCATAAAGAAATCAGAAGCCTTTATCCTCTTGATACCCCACTTAATCTTGTAAACTTCAGCAAGATCATCTCCTATCCTTCTTTTCTCAAGAAAAGTTAAGAGATCTTAATCTAACCCCATAAGATAACTCTTCCATCCTTGGAATCATCCTAGTAACCCTCACTCAGAAATGAACCTTTTCCAATAATTAAATATCAATTTTATGATTAAAAGACCAAACTGTACACAATATTTCAAGTAGAGATGTGGCGGTTATCTGATATCATATTACCATAATATAAATCTCTAGCAATAAAATTATGGCTTTTTAAAAAAAAAGATATCGGGTTATCATACGTCTTTGGTCATATATTTTGTATTGCAGTAAAACTGTATGCTTATTTTTTATGGGGTAAGTTATTAAATGATGCACGAGTAAACATTTGTTATTAAAAGTGTTATATTAAACTATTGATACAAAATATATGGAAACTTTTTCACACAAGTAAGCACCACTCCTTCCACTAACAAATATAAGATTTGAAATGTGTACTGCCATGCCAAGTGTGATGTTAGTTTTGAATCTTTAATATAATAGTTCAGTTAAGCCTTCATGCATGAATTAAGACCTTTTATCGAATTTATACTTTCATGTGTAACAATATTCATGATACCATGGGTTATTTCTGTGAGTAATCAGATCCTGCAAGACTGTGTGAAACTAGACTACATAACTATTTGTTCAAACCATAAAAGAAATACCAGTTACAAATAATTTCATAACTCAACAAGGAGAAAGACAAACTTTACATATAATTGGGAAGGACCATTCTTTTTCATGAATAGGATACAAATTTAAGTTAATTTTAATTTCTGAATAAAATTGTATTTTTTTAAAATATTTAAAGGTATGCCCTAACCTCACATAACAGTTTCAAATTTCAACTAATGTGAAAATTCTCATTGAAATGACAGCATTTTACAGTGCTATTATGTTCAATATTGTTCAGCCCATCTCCCCAACATTTCAGATTTTCCCCATCCATTGAACAAACAGCCATTAACCCTTTCAAGATGGGTCACAGGTGAAAGGCCATGTCATCTTGTTTGTTGACTCGCATTCAAAAGTTTATTGAACTACTATTTCATGAATTTATTTCAATAAGTTTGGTATCAAACTGTGGATTATAATTCAAATTTTAGAACTATATATTACTCAATTTCTTAATTTAAAAGTAAATATAGAAAAAAAAAACAGATGATTTTTGTGTGTTATGTGGTATGTTGAATGCAGCACTGGTTCACATTAGATGTTTGTG